AGAAGACACAAAAGTCTGGCGAGGGTGTGAAGACTTCAGCCAAATTGGCCGAAGAGGCAGCGGAAAGGCGCGAGCGTATGGAACGTTTGGAATGTGAGTGCATTAGCATTGTATACATAAGATAAATAAAGACTTTTTTTATATATATGTAATTGGAAAATACATATATCTTTTAATTATTTTTTTGTTTTGTTTTCAGTCATGACCACTGCACAAATCGAGCACGAGAATACACAACTTATAAACNGAGAAGACACAAAAGTCTGGCGAGGGTGTGAAGACTTCAGCCAAATTGGCCGAAGAGGCAGCGGAAAGGCGCGAGCGTATGGAACGTTTGGAATGTGAGTGCATTAGCATTGTATACATAAGATAAATAAAGACTTTTTTTATATATATGTAATTGGAAAATACATATATCTTTTAATTATTTTTTTGTTTTGTTTTCAGTCATGACCACTGCACAAATCGAGCACGAGAATACACAACTTATAAACGATTTATATCGACTGCTGAAAAAATATTTAGGACTGCGGCATTTAATCCGAGTGCTCAAGGTTAGTGAAAGATAAATATTTGTTAGTTAGTATTCGCGTATCATTTCAATTGTGCATTAAAAGGCAAAAATAATTGAAGGTCAGGAAAAATTGCCTTGAAGTTTTCAAAACAATAAAAATCATTCTTGAAGGTAAGAAAACTACCACAAGAATGGGAAAATTTATTATATATGCTTGTAAGAATTATAAATATTCAATGATTTCGAATGAAATTTACCTCAAAGGTACGCGGCCCTTCCAAAAAAAAAAGACCATGCTACTAGCACTACCCTGCATTTCAAGACATGAAACGAAGTATTTACACATTTCCTTCTGTTCGAGCGTTTCCTTTGTAAAAATTTATTGTTACATTTTATGTACAATGTACATTGTACATATATATATACATACATAGGTTAGGTTAGGTGGTTGCTCCATGTGTCAGGGCCTTAGACAATTAAGAGATTGTCCTTTGTGATATCACATTCTGAACATTTGAGCTCATTTGAAGCCCATATATTAAAGAGTGTACCACAAGTGATCAATAACAACCCCAGCCGTTCTTTATCCGGCGATAGCGGTTTAATAGTACATTTCCTGGCAAAATCGTCAGCCACACTGTTCTCCGCTATGTGACTGTGACTCGGAACCCAAGGTAGCCGAATAAGGAAGTATTCGGACGCAACTGAGAGAGAGGAGCATTGCTTAACTTCCGGCTGAAATAAACTCTGCAGCAGTCCAGAAGCCTGAACTTAGTACTGATGGACTCTCGACAGAAGACGCCTCTACCAACCTTTCCGTCCAGTTACGATCCATCCGTGATGATGTTGACTGCTTCCCCTCTACAGAGGTGAGTCCAGACATACCGTTACTGCTTATCCATGGCAGGAGGATCAGGACCACAACAGTTTCACCTTGCTCAAGGTGGAGCAAAAGACTGGCGGATACCGCCCTTAAGTGTTGGAGTTTAATCTTAAGGATCTTCATTCCCCCGAATCCTCTCCATGAGTGCTAGCTCCGTGGTCTCATTTCCAACGTCAACCCCAAGAAGCAGCCTCTCTACACTGTAGATGGATCCTCCGTCCTCAATGCTCTCAGCATCCGGTGGATCTGATTCCCATGTTAACGGAATCAACGGCCTCCCTGCTTACCTCCCACGCTACTAGAGGCTGAGGGTTATCAACTTCGGATCCGGTCGGCAGGTTTCTGAGGACCACCTTCTGGGAGCCATAGCTTATGACTCCCTTGGTATCGCCGTGAGCACCAGGGACTCTGCATTTGGCAGTGAAGAGCATGGCTCAATACTCAAAGGTAAGGACATGATTGTACTACCACCCACTGATAAGGTCTGATCATGATTCAAGTAAGCCCCCGCACCAACAACACGGAGAGAACGGACCTACAGAAAACTCTGAACTCTAAACTGAGGATACCGAGTCTCCAGAGTCTAGTACAGAACACCAGTAGTTTCCTTCTGACCCAACTGACGTCAATTAGAGTTACCAAGTGAAGTCCAGCGCTTCCCTATCAGGTGTTCCCATCGCTCCGGTATTGACCGAACCATCAGAATACAGTTCACATTGCGACGTCTCACAGCGTGACCCTATAGACAGCGTCTTCCTGCTTTACGACGGCGCTACTGCTGTCGTCGCATGAATTGTTGCTGTGGGTTTGCCTAGATCACAATTATTTGCTCAGTGGCCGTACGTTCAGAACGATAATTTTTTTCACTTGAAATAGTTGAATAAGCAGATTTAACACACTGGAAAGTCGATAAGCCTTAATCCGTTAGAGAAAGGTTCGTCGTGTGGGCATCAGGACCGTTTACAAGTACGATTTATGAGCTCATAAAAGTTATCTTTGACCTACAGTATTTTTCTTGCGTTGAAGCAGGCCGAACTTGAACGATGTGTTGAAGAAACTCGCTTTGAAGTGGATTGTGGCGAGTGTACTTATATTTGGGGACGAAGTGTCTCTCCCACCGTAAATCCATAAAATGCGTCGCATAGTCCTATTTTTTCTTACCGTACCGTTTCCACTGCATCTTTTGGGTGACGGTTATGTACGCCATTGCACTAACGAGGACATCAAACAGGTGAAGGTCTTTAAACTATAGCAGGTGCACCCCCTGTCGATCAGATGCAGCCCACTTCAGTTAGCCCTTAAACCGAATAATTTTGAGTGGCCCCGCCAAAGCTCCCTCACTTCTGGAATGGTCGTGCAGCTGCAATCAAGCAAGACCCATAACGATCATTTCACTCGATTGCCCACTTTTCAGGTCAACCAGCAATTTCAAGCTCATTAGTCTCGACAATCACTTGAATCAATATCTCTCGGTAAAGTGTTTTTAGGAATTATCGAATTATCGATCTAAAGTTAATTATTTTATTTTAAAATTGATTCGCATATTTTTCGTTTCAGGAGGAATATGGCAGCTCAAAAATGTATCCGATCTTCCCGCGCTACACAATGCTCAAAGATATGATTAAAGGCATCATGCACGATCCGGATTATATGGAAGTTTGCCATGAAATAAATAACTGAGTGGTAGACTAAAGAATAAGCCGAGTGAAATGTGGTCAAGGATGCACCATCATACATACAAACATGTGTATGTATAAGCAGCAAAAAGATGTTAAAATATTATAAAGGAAAAAAATTAATACACATTTGCAAAAATTCATAGCATAGCAAAGTAATCATCAAATAAAAACACAAACAAAGTTACTAAGGCAGAAGTAGTCGACTTGGATAAGGGGCTTTAGTGGCTTAGTTTTTAAGTTATATACATTAGGTAAATAATGAAATTTACTAAAAATACATACACAAAATGGCTTTAATAAGCAGTTCACTAGCCAATTTAAGTTCTTACTCGTATAATGGAAATATTTTATAGGCAAGAAAACAAAACACATACTATACAAGAATTTAAACAGTGTTCACTGGTACCTACATACATACATGAAATACACATATACACTACATATACGGTGGCAAGAATGTAAATAGGACAGAGACATTTAGCAAGTTTTAGCTATTTTTCTTTGTTTACAAATTTTTATTTTTTTTTATAAAAGTGTGGCTTAAATACTTTCCAAAAAACCCATGTAAATTAAAATTTCAAAATTTTTTGGAGTACGCAGTTTTATTGCACATTAAATTTTAGTATAAACTGCAAGTTTGAAGTAGCTAGGGCTCATTGCTGATTTTTGGGAATTTTTTGTTTGCACATTTTCTCCATACAAAGTATGTTGGACAATTTTTTGTATGTATAAAATGAGCAACACCTACCTCAAAAAATGGCAAAAGTAAACGGTGAGTTCTGGCTATTTAAAATTTCCCTGGGTGCTCACAATGTTTCAAAGAAATCTAATTGAAAAGCTCAAAATTTTGACAAAACTTTGTCGAATTTTGCTAATTTTACTTACATGGTTTGGTTAGGCAGCGAGCTACACTTTCATAAAAAAATACTAAACATTTAATAAACGAAAGGTAAATAGCAAAAGAATGCTAAAATGACCCTTTCCTATTTACAATTTCGCCACTGTACATATGTACATACATACATATATACATATCTGCATACAAACATACATACATGCATGCTTACAAATATTTTTTGAAAAATATGTATTGCTGTTCTATCTATGTGCATATAAAATTTACCTACATTACTGCCTTTTAGGTAAGTAAAGATATCAAAACGAGCTTTCCACTTGTAACACTTGCCAACTAAAATGCCGAAATTCGTACATTTGGCAAGCCAGTTGCAAGGACAGGCATAGTCAACCACAAAACCACAACACAACTACACATATATGTATGTATATATATATACTATCTATGGTATGTGTATTATACAAAAACACTAGCAAACTTTAGGTGAAACACATTGCATATACAAACATACTTGGTACACAAAAAGTAACTACTTTTAGTAGCTCAACTTACTTAGAGTTAATATGTATAGGCATACATACATACATACCATATAGAACATACGAACAAATACATATACCACCGAACAAAGAACTATAGTAAATCGGACGCCAGCCAGTGTACTCTGGCCCTACGCTGTGGTGGCCTGCAACAGCTAAAGCTGTAAAATACAAATAGTAAATATCAACAAACACTTTTACTCCTACATACATATAAATGTGCGCTTAAATTGCTTTCTAAAGAATTTACTATCTACAAACGACATACAATAAAATACTAACAAACATTACAACAAGCAAATTGTTAAGGATAACAGCCTGTATATTGGGATTCATCCATGTACATTTACATACATACATACATATGTACAAGTAAAAACCAGTATTTATACACGCATAATTTTATACTAACAAAAATAAAATTGCATGCCTATCTGTAAGTGTGTACTGACAATTAAATTTATAATACATGTTTACAAATACATACAGACATACATACATACATGCATACCAACCCTGCAGGGAAACCGCGGACTGGTGTATAAAATTTCTAGTTCCGTACAAGATCTTTATCGCGAAAAACGAACCAGTCCGATAGTAAGTAGATCCCCACCAGTTCAAAATCAGCGAAATGTGGGACTCTTAAAAAAACTATTTTATTTCTCTTTTTTCATTAGAAATCTATTCTAAAGTGACGAATTTAGAACTGGTTCGGAATTATAGAAAACGGGACACAGAACGAACTAGATCTTATTTGTCGAATTTAGAACTAATTCGGAACTATCGAATAAGGGATGCAGCGGGGGGCTTGTTTACTTTACAAAGATATGTGTTCGGCGGCTTTTTCGTTCAAATACGCTTCTATTCTGTGCTTCGCAGATGCTATTTCATAGTTTGGTAATACAAAACAAAGCTTTGTGTTAACATATTAACATCTTGGGGACGTCTGGAATCTAACCAATAACAGCGATCACCTCTGCAAAGTCAGCTACAGCCAAAGGTATGTAAAGGTACATTTCTTACAATCATTCGAATAAATTTAATTTCAAATTGAAAAAACGTTTCTTTGAACATAATGTAAAATCGCACACGGAAGAACCGAAAAGATTGAAAAATCATGATACTTTTTTCTTTCGTCTGGCGATTTTAAAACTGGTTCGGAACTACAGAATTTAGAACTAGTTCGGAACTATCGAAAAAGGGATGCAGCGGGGGGCAATTGACAATTCCTAGGACATCGCCATGTTAAATTCGCCAGTTGCTTGCATGCAAAAGAGATTTATCGCGAACCAGTACTGGGTCTAAATGTACTAGAAGCGCCCCAGTTCAGAACTAGAGATTTTCCCCACAGGGAATATAATTTATGCTACATGTGAGCATACCTTCAAATAAATTCACAATATTTATAGCCACAATTGTAACATGTCATCCCAGTGGGCAACATAACTTGTGTGCATAAAGACACATTTAGTGAAAAAAAAAGTTCGAATATTAAAAAAACTGTCTATATCTATATCTATAGTTTTTATAACAAAATAAAACACCAGTATTTGAGGTACATAGCATATAGCCAGCTATGATATTTCGGCAAATGTAAACAAGAAAAAATAATATATTTAACTACTGTTTACACAAATACACATAAATGTTTTAGATAATTTAGAAAAAAATCCATAACAAATGGCATAGACACAAACATGCATACATACATAAATATATATTAAATTATAGATAGACAATATAGAGGAATTATTCCTGGAAATTAAACAAAAATCAAAATTAATTAAAAAATAATAATTGCATACACAAAATTAAATATTAAAATTGTAGACTAGTAAATTTTTGTTGAAATGTTCAGCGAGGAATGGGCTATAACCATATATATGTATATGTAATACTTCTATATTGATAGTACATTCCCCAACATCGTCGATATATTAAAAAAGAAAGAGAGATCCGATAAGAGAATGTACTCAAAATAACAATTTTGCTTTTCAAAATACAGAAGTGGTTTAACAGATTCTTATTGAAAAATCATTTACACGAAAAACTGACAAAAAATACAACATTTGTAAATCTACGATTTCGATAAGTCTCTTTGCATCTGAAAGGTAGTGTCTCAGAGGTGGTCCCATACCAATCTAGTTTAGATCCGATCATTGGATCATGAAAAAATTAACGGTTTTGTTTTTGCTTAAAAATTACTTGTTATAAAAAAAATCAAAAAAATTTTAGCTTAAAAATTTTGTAAATATTGAAAACGAAACACCATTCATCCATTTTTGACCGCCATTGTATGCGGCTTGAAGGAAGCATGAGACCGTCAAAATATGGGTTAGCTTGTGTAATTCCCTGAACCGCTCCTGTTATGATATAGCATTTAATTTTAAGTAGTAGTTTACAAATATATACGTATCCTTTACAATCACAAAAATTGGCATAGGCTGGCTGTCTTTCTTTGATTTCGAATTGAAACCACATTGCGATCATATTGTACTAGCAATATAGATGTATTACATATTGCATATATAGCTATAACTATATTAACATATATAATTACAATATATACCATACCTAATGGTAAATAAAAATCAAAACGTTTCTGTTAAATTTATATTGCAACTCTGATCATATTAGAAAGTTAATTGGTTACTTACACAGAGAAATTCTCGTTTCCAAATTTAATATTTACATACAGATGTTCCTTCCTGCCTTTCTTCCAAGCTGGGTCTACTGATTTTGTTTCGCGTTGGTCAGATCCTGTAAATAATTTTAAGAAAATTTGAATTTATTATTTTATAACCCACAGGAATTGGTTTTTTTTTTTCAATTTAGTCTTAACAAAGCTTTTTTTAGATCAAAGCAGTCCACAGTATCAACAATGTCACTTTTTATTTAGGTGTTTAGAAATTCTAAATTAGAATGCCGATAATATATTTATTTCATCGCCTTTTCCGAAGATTAAAGTAGGTTCTTTATCTGCACACAATTTTTTCGACAAATAATGCAAAGATATACATACATGTTTTTCACTATAATTAGGTAGTTTTTTAAATTCTATTGCAAAACATTTTAGTTTTAAAACTAAACTAAACGTTTTTAAAAAGTTTCACATATTATTTTAGTTCTTGAATATTTTGCATTATCCTGAGTTTCGCCCGAAAAAAAAAAAATCACCCGAATGTGAAAAGTGAATCGGTTCGGAGAAAATGAAACTCATGATAAGGCACAATTCGTTGGGTCAGTATTCTAAAATGTTTCATTTTAGTTTTGAAATTACGCATTTTTGGTATTATTTTTTTCATTTCGTTTGTTCTCCCATGTAATCCCAAATAACATATAGATATTATAACGATCGTTTTTGTTTTTCGAATGTTTCGTTTTAAAGACGTAAATACAATAAGATACTGCATTTTATATTTTGTATGAAGTAAAATTGTATCAAAAAATTTTATTTTACAATTTCTTTTTACCAAAAAAATATGTATGTGCCGGTTTGCTTATCTAATAATGCTGGATGTCCAATTGGCATTAAATGGCAAAAATTGTAATGACAAAGTTTGGAATAAAAAATATTCGTGCCATTACGTTAAAAAATAGCCAATAAATTCATTACCACATGGCATTTTTTAAATTCCTCCAAAATTTTTGTCATTTCAAG